AAGGAGTCTGTTTACGGCATAGGTGCACGATGCGAAAAATTGCAACCGCTATTTTCTAGAAATGACTCCGCTGTACCTGTTGGTGCCAGATGGGCAGTTTCTTCTCTGTTCCTTGGAAGGTTTCTGAAGACCTAAAATAAAATAGATGAGACACTCTGGTGGCCTGGAACTCAACGAGTTTACATACATCATTCTTGGCTCTCCAAATGCTTTAGGCACCCCCCGGCCCCCAATCCTGATTGCTTGCAAAGACAGGATGATTAAACAACAATGCTCAGAGAGCACCAAGGACTCCGCGATTCAAATATTAAGCAAAAATTATTCTCTTCTATAGGATGAAAAGCTGGTTCTCTCCCTTTGGCCCTTGTAAAGGTGTTTTCCAACAGGCAAAAATTACAAAAACAACAACAAGAATGGGGCAATGAGCTTTCTGATCTTTAGAGGGGGGAGGAAAAAAAATCCACCCCCGTTTAGAACCAGCAAGGTCTCTACAAAGTTGGACCAGATGACCTACAAGGTCCTTTCAGCTCTGTTAATTTGTTAAAAGTGCTAAGGTGGTTTGAGACGCGAGACTTGTTCCTAACATCCAACTTTGATCCTAGGCTGTTGGCGTAAAAAGGCTGGCTGAATCCTGGGGCTGCCTCTACTACCACACCTGGTTTGTCTGTTCCACCAAAATTAGGACTTAAGAATCCCCAAATCACAGTCTTCTTCTTCTTCTTTCCACACCCAACTATTCCAATTTCACTGGCTCTCTTGCCCAGTCCCGGGGTAACTGTTTAGAGGTTCCATCACACTCACGTTTTCTTATCCAGCTACGGCGGGGAAGAGTTGGATCCAGCTGGCGCTTGTATGAAAAGCAGGAGATTTATAGGAGGCTGAAGTCTTGCTAAAATGAAAAAAAACAAAAAACCCCAACAACAACAAGCAAAACGATTGCCCACCTTCTCCCAAACTGCATACCTCTCCTTTTCCTGTTCAAAGTCTGAGTAAACAGAATCAGACCGTAAGGGCATGGGGAAACAAAACAGCAATGATCTTTGAAGCATGATGAAGGAATCTGGAAGGATATCAATTCCGATATCTGGTATTTGTAGAGCTGCCACCAATCAGGAGTGAAAGAGCCACTTTGATTGGATTTCCGGCCCGCCATCAAGTGGTTGGCCCTTAGGGACCACCTGGATAGATCTTCTCTTGATAGACAGCTTTATCCAAGAAGATCTAGGGAGATATTCTACGTTCTACCTTCTAGGCGAGCATTCTCCAATGATGAGGCAGGACAAGAAGCAATGGATGGAAACTAATCGAAGAGAAAACCAACCTTCAACAAAGGAGAAATGTTAGGGAGAAGCTAGGACAATTAATCAATGGAACAACTTGTGGGTGCTCCGTCACTGAAGGTTTGGAAGAAAAGGTTGTACAGCCATTTGTCTGAAGTGGTGTAAGGTTTCCTGTGTGAGCAGGAGGTTGGGTTAGAAAACCTCCAAGGACCCTCCCAACTGTGTTATTCTGTGATTATCTATATCTCCTGGCCTTTTAGTTCTGTCCAATGGTCCTCCCATTGTTTCTGAGTCCATCTACCTTGCTTGGTGGCCATTCTCTTCTTCTCTTTCCTTCCATCTCTCCCAGCATCAGAACTTGGTCTTCTCATAATGTGTCTAAAATAGAAAAAATTGAGCCTGGTTGTTTGTGACTCAAGTAGGAAATCTGGGTAGACTTGTTTGATGATCCATCAGTTTGTTTTCATGACCGTCCATGGTCTTCTCAGCGGTCTTCTCCAACAGCCACGTTCAAAAGTGTCAATCCTATTGTCCAAGTCCAGCCTGAACCATTAGGATCTAGAATGTTCTACCTTCCATGTCATCTGTATGGGTTATGTCCTGTCAAGTCACACATTTTATTTCTTGTTATTTACCCATTTGTTCTGGCTGCCCCATGCATATTATAATTATTATATGGACTCTGGGAAGCATATTTCAAAATAATACCCAATACAAGGGCAGTTAAAATAATAAGACTCAATTAATTAGGATTGCTACTCAAAGAGAGAGTCAAGGGCCCCAAAGTTAGAAACTGTTAAAAAAAAAAAAAAAGGACAGGATTTGATGTGTAATTGAAGCTCCCATCTTGGGTTTTTTGGACATCCTCCCCTTCTGGGAGCACTCTTGCATACAGTACAGGTAGTCCTCAATTTACGACTGGTTGTTTAATGGCAACAACCCCCCACACCCCATTCAAGAGAGTGGATTTGGACTTACGACCACGAGATTTGCTTAACCAGTGCTACAAAAAGATAGTCAAAAAAGTTGGGCCCGGTGATGTGGAGCCTCAACTTATGACCCCATTGATTGAAGACAGGGATTCTGCTCCCAATTGTGGTCGTAAGTGGAGGACTACCAATTTGTGGCCAGATGTTGAGGTTGTACGCTGTGGTCATAAAGTTGAGGCTGTTGGAGACTTTTCAAAGACGAGTTCCTTCTGCATCCAGGAGAGATCCAGCAAACATGGAAGTCAGGAAGCAACGGTCCTCTTTGTAATAGCAAAGAATAATAATAATGATCATAATTATTGTAATATTCAGTATTGTAATATCCTCAACTTATGACCCCAATGATTGATGGAATTCTGGTCCTAGTTGTGACAGAGGAGTATCTCTAATAGCAAAAGTATTAAAAGAGATAATTTCTTTCCCATTTCCATTTTTTTCTGATCTCTTCTGCATTCAGAAGGACCTATAAAAAAAAGTCTATGAAAACTTTTCACAGCAGAGCTTTGGAACAGCTACGGGTCCAAAGGAATATTTACTCAAGGATCCAACATGATGAGTAGACAGAAGTGAGAGAGACAAGGACAATTTGTTTAGATGTTAAGCAATATTTGCTCCCGGTCACTGATCAACCAACTGTATCTGAAGGAGGCCTTCAAAAATTGTCTTCTAAGACCAGCTGGAGCAAAAATCCTTGTTTGAATGGTTACGGAAATCCAGAGACGTTCTTCCATTTCTGGAAAGAAAGTATGCTTGGAGTCAGGCGTAGGATACGAGATTCCCCTGGAAAGGTTGAGATTTTAAGCGCAGGGCAAAATATTTTCGTTCCAGATTTCAGGTACTCCTCGACTTACAACCAAAATTTGGACAATAACAAGCAACATATTAATGTTCACTTCTGGCTCACTTTAGTAACACTCGTGTTTGCTCCGAGCCTCTTGTCTCTGCCAATTTCTCACATTCTGCTCGATGAGCCAGCTAAATATGAGCCAGCAGTGTACAAAAGGCAATGCAATCCTAAATTGCATTAACAGAGGGATGCAATCAAGAACAAGGGAAGTAATAATACCACTCTATAAAGCCTTAGTAAGACCACACCTAGAGTATTGCATCCAGTTTTGTTCACCACACTATTAAAAAAGATGTTGAGACTTTAGAAAAAGTGCAGAGAAAAGCAAGCAGGATAATTCAGGGACTGGAGACTAAGGCATATGAGGAACTGGGCCTGGCTAGTCTGGTGAAGAGAAGGACCAGGGAAGACAGGATAGCAGTCTTCCAATATTGGAGGGGCTGCCACAGAGAGGAGGAAGGGGTCAAGCTATTTTCCAAGGCACCCAAAGGCCTAACAAGGAATAATGGATGGAAACTGACCAAGGAGACATTCAACCTGGAAATAAGGAGAAAATTTCCTGACCGTGAGAACAATCAACCAATGGAACAGAAGTTGCGTTCAGAAGTTGTGGGAGCTTCATTACTTGAGACTTCCAAGAAGAGACTGGACTGCCATCTGTCAGAAATGATGTAGGGTCTCCTGCTTGGGCGGGGGGTTGGACTAGATGACCTACAAGGTCCCTCCCAACTCTGTTATTCTATGTTCAATGGAATGACTTGCCTTTGGAAGTTGTGGGAGCTTCGTTACTGGAGGCTTTCAAGAAGAGACTGGACTGCCATCGGGCAGAAATGGTGTAGGTTTTCCTGCTTGGGCAGGGGGTTGGACTAGATGACCTACAAAGTCCCTTCCAACTCTGATTATCTGTTATTTGTTTAAAGCTGATATTCACATTTAAGTGGTTCGACATTCCTTTCCTCCAGATTTAAGGATTTCAGATGGCAATTTAGTCTAACATGGGATTTTTGTAATGCCAGCTTTCTGGAGGCAGGGGAAGGGCACGCAGATACTTTTCGACGTACAACCACCATTGAGTGCAACATTTCCATTGCCAAGCAAGAGAGTTGTTAAATGAGCATGTTAACCCGTTTTATGACCTCTCTTGCCCCAGTTGTTAAGTGAATCACTGTAATTCTTAAGTCAGTAACACGGTTCAAAGGGGAATCACATGACCCCCGGACGCTGCAACTATCATAAATATGAGCCACTGAAAAAAAGTGACTTATGACCATTTTTCACACTTATAACCATTGCAGCAACCCCACGGTTATGTGATCAAAATTCAGGCACTTGCTCATATTTATGACGGTTGTATTATGCCAGGGTTAGGTTTCTGACAAGGAAAGTCAATAGGAAAACCAGATTAGATTAACAGGTTAACAGAGTTGGAAGGGACCTTGCAGGTCATCTAGTCCAACCCATCCACCCACCCCCACCCAAGCAGGAGAATCACTTTACAACCGCTTTATTTTATTTAACAACTGCAGCAACTCACTTAACAAGAAAGCTCATAAAACAGGGCAAACTTCACTTAACAGGTGTCTCGCTTAGCAACAGAAATGTTGAGCTCAATTGGAGTCGTAAGTGAAGTACTGTCAGGGGTCCGACAATTAAGATCATGTCTCTAGCCGTATCTCTCAGAGTTAAAAAAAATGATTTATTAGGCGTGACCATGTCAGCGTTACCTAGGTGCAGCCAACTCTAAGACACATCATTCCTTTCCCCCTTGACCCTGGTCTTCCCCCCACCCCCTGGATGTATATTGTCCAATGGGACACATCCATAGCCAAGAGTCATCAACCATGCTCTCCAGTAATAATCTTGGGCGCCAACAGCTTTGGCTGCCTAGCAATTATCTGAAACATTTAAGGAATGCACTGCTTTCTGCTGGCAACTAAAAAGATCAAAGAAGTATTTCTTAGTTGACAAGTACTACCTATAAACATTTATTTGGAAAGTCACTTCATCCATTTTTTTAAAGTGGTTTTTGTAGGGCAAGAAGGAAATGTGAAACGTATTTGTGAATGCACTCAAAATCAAATCTGGGCCCTGATCTTGCAAAAAGAAAAAAAAAAATGGACAAGGCAGGACAAAAAAAGAAAATTTGAAAATGTAAAGGGTTTTTTTTTTTTTTGTACCACCCTGATATTCGTTGACGACATTTTAGAAAGAAATGATTGGAAACAACTCGTGCTTAATTTTTTTTTTCTCTGTATTTATGTCTAATGATGGGTTGAGAAAGTAGAAAATGAAAGGTTGGAGTTCCTGGTCAACCTCTCTCGAGATGTTTATTTTTTTTTTCCACTGCTACGGTTGGGATTACATGAGCATCTTCTCTATCACTGATGGAATCCAGGGACATTCAGTCAGATCCATCTTGGGAGGTTATGGGTTCAAGTTTTTTCTTCAACTTCTGGAAAGCCTCGGAAAGCCAGTTCCTGCCAAGGACAAGAGAAACGATGAGTTGGTTTTGCCACCCCCAAAGCTCCCAAACTCTTGTAATGCGGGAAAGACCTTGGGAGACTACATTAAGAGAGGCTGCCAAGGGAACAGTTAGATAAGAGGCAGCCTAGCCCTCAGCTGCACAGTGGGTGAGGGAAGAGAGAAGAAAGGAACTTCCCTAGTTGTTTGCGTGATAAAGGAGACAGGGAGAAAATTGTACTTTCAAACTGGCAAGATTGGGGTGTCAAACTCGATTTCACTGAGGGCCGCATCAGGGTTGTGTTTGACCGCGGGGCCAGTGGTGCGTTTCAAACATTTTTAACCACTGGTTTGGCGGGTGTGGCTTGGTGGGCACGCTTTGCATGCACACACACACACACTTCGCACATGTGCATGCATCAAACATGCACTTTGAGCAGGCACGGAGGCCTTCCGACTCGCCACCTGCAATCTTGCACTCTCCCTGTCGCTTCAGCAGCTGCTGTGCAGCAATCAGCAAAGCAGCTGGGCTTCAAAAGCAGGACATACAGGTGAATATGGGTACCTGGGCAGGTGGGTGGGCCCAACAGCAGAGCGTTGGAGAGAAATGGTTTGGTCTCCACTACTCATCGGTGCTACCAGCTCGGCTGAACCAGGCTGAACCGGTAGAATACCACCACTGCTCGGGGGGAGGGGTGTCTGTGTGTGTGGCTGGGGGCGTGGTCAGGGTGGGCGGGGCCAGCTCAACATCACTCATCAAGGCTCCATTTTTGGCTGCGACAGCTTCCTTCAGCCCTCTGCCAGCGAAAACAGAGCTCAGGGAGGCCACATGCAGCCTGCCTGCGCTCCATTTTCATTGGCAGAGGGCTGCAGGAGGCCGTCGCGGTTGAAAACGGAGCCCAGGTGGGCTGCATGTGGCCCTCCCACACTTCGTTTTCACTAGCAGAGGCACTGTGGGCCAGTCCTTCACTGTTTCCAGGGTGGGACCATGGGCCAGATCTAAGCACCCCGTGGACCGGATCTGGCCCCCCGGGTCTTGAGTTTGACACCCCTGGGCAAGATTCAATGGTTAAAGATGCCGAGCTTGCCCGATGGAAGGCTGACAGCCTGGGTTTGAGACCCGAGCTCCGCACGACGGGGTGAGCTCCCGTTCCTTGCCTCAGCAACTGCCTACCGAGCAGTTCAAAAGCATGCCAATGCGAGTAGATAAATAGGTACCACTTCAATGGGAAGGTAACAGTTGTTAAGGGAATCCAGCTTTCCTGTTGATTTTGCTTGTCAGAAGGTTACAAAAGGGGATCACATGACTCCCCCCCAAGGACACTGCAACCGTCATAAATACATGCCAGTTGCCAAGCATTGATCACATGACCCCTGGAGATGCTGCAATGGCCATAAGTGTGAAAATATACGTTGCTTTTTTCAGGGCCCTTGTAACTTTGAGCGGTCACTAGATGAACTGTTGTAAGTCGAGGATTGCCTGTATATTGTCAAACATAGTTCTTTCCATCCTCCTGTTCTGCCAAATGGGTCTGCTGCTTCCCAAAATAGGTTTCACCTTGGACTTCAGGCTTCCCCGCTTCACACTCAATCATAGAGAGTCCATATTGCTTAAGACACTAATCCTAGGAGAAGTTTTTCAAATCACAGATGTGCTAATTCAGGAACCGGTTTGGCTGTTTCGCTGAGCCTCCAGCAAGAATTCCAGATGATCCAGCTGCTTGCCAAAATCTGACTGGCATTCCTTGGCAGGGATTTAGAAAGCACCTGAGAGGCTGTCATAGAATCATAGGCTTGGAAGGGACCTTGAAGGTCTTCCAGTCCAACCCCCTGCCCAAGGCAGGACTGTCTCTGTGCGGTGGAATGGTGTCTGGATTCCCAGCAGGGAGGGGCTGGATTCCAGAGAGCAAAGAGGCAGCAGAGGAGACTAACTAAGTTAATCGGAACAGAGCTGGAAGGAATCTTTGAGGTCTTTCTAGTTTAACTCCAGGGGGCGTGGGCTGCTACCGGTTCGCCACGGTTTGGGCGAACCGGTTGTTAATTTTATGGTCAGTTCAGCAAACCGGCAAATCTCTCCCCTGGCTGGCTCCACCCACCCTTCCCTTCCCACGCAACCCATTTTGGATTGCAGGTAAGTGGAGGAGGCTCGGGGAGGGTGAAAAATGGGCCGCCTAGAAGTTCCGGAAGGCCGGAAATCCAGAGAGTCTCCGGAACTCGATGAGAGCGAAAACACCCCTCCCTGCAGCCCATTTTTGCTCCCAGGGTGGTGCAGGAGGCTGACTAGGCCACGCCCACCATGGCCACGCCCACCCAGCAACCGGGCAGAGAACTGGTTGTTAAATTATTTGAAGCCCACCCCTGTCCAACCCCCTGTTCAAGCAGGCGACCCTATACCCGTGATGGCGAACCTATCGCACCCGTGCCGCAGGTGGCACTCAGAGCCATTTGTGCCGGCACACGAGCTGCAGACAAACTTACCTCACTGCACATGCACGCGCCTCACCGCTGATTTTCGGCTGGTTTGAGGCCTTTTTCGGCTTCCCAGAGGCTTGGAAAAAGCCTCTGCAGGTCGAATAGGCCCGTTTTGTCACTTCCTGTAATACCGGAAGTGATGAAATGGGCCTATTCAGCCTGCAGAGGCTTTTGTCAAGCCTCCGGGAAGCTGAAAAAGGCCTCAAACCAGCTGAAAATCAGCCTTGAGGCACAGTGCAGGTAAGGGGGTGGGGGCCGGGGGGGGGATTGCGTGCGCATGTGCAGGGGGCGGGAGGATGCGCATTGCCTTCTGGATGCTGGCATTGGAGCGCCAGCGCGCACACAATTTTTAGCCCAGGAACCCCAAAAGGTTAGCCACCACTGCCCTATACCATTTCACCCAGCACTGATGATGTTCCCTAGTTTGGGTGCTGAAACCTTTGCAAGAAAACAACTGAGTTCAGAGAGCACAAAGGACCACCTAAACAAACTCAGCGTCCCACTTCGGGGTCCTTCTTCCCCCTAGGATGTTCTCAATGGAGCCCTCTTGGGCTGCTCTGTGTCCTCATCTAGTGGTGGCTGCTGCATCTGTCAGGCTCCTCTGCCTGCAAATGTTTGTTCCCTTTGAGTAAATAGAATTTTGCCTTTTTTTTTTTTTTGCTTATCTAGGCGGCTGATATTCCCTTTTCGGCTTTCAGGCTCGAAAGGTCTTTATTTTCTGGTTGATGGAGGAAACAAGTCAGTTCCGGAAAGTCAAACCTTCTGCCAGCTGAACCGCAACTGAAGCTTTGCACCTGGGATCCCAGCTTCTTAAAAATGGGTCTCCCTGTGGATCGAGAATTCATGGAACCCAATCCACAAGGAGAACCAGAGGCAATTTCCCTCCCCCCCCAAAAAATATTTTGCACCCTTTTAGCTCTGCTGTTTACTGATGGAAAGCTGACCTTGGCTAGGACATTTTCCCTTCGTAAAAAAAAAAAAAAAAGGGCGATGATTTAAGAAGCCACAAAAGGATGAAAAATCAGGCTGGGAGGACAGTCCGTGAAGCAAAACCCCGGGAAAATCTTTAATCCTGGAATGAGTTTCATCGTTGAGATAAACAGGGAGAGATTGTCACATGCAACAAAGGAATGATGGCTTTGCAGGCAGGGAACTTTCCGCCGCCGTATGAATTGCTTGGATTTTTTTTTTTTTTCAACAAATGCTCCGCTCAGGCAAATACACTGACATTTAAGTCATGGGTTCTTGAAAAATTGGGTGGGGTGAGAGAATCAGGGGATGTCAACATGCATCATGGCCTCCTTATGCTAATGGATGGAAATCATTTACTGTTGCTCCTTTACATCATGGCTGGATCGGTTCACGTCGCCTAATTCCTGCTGTTTGCACAATGATGTTGTAAGCGCTTGGGATGTCATTGTGGCTTCTTTAGCAACATGGACGGGAAGGGAGCATTTAATTATTAATTTTACTTCTATTATGGGATGAGAGTGAGGTATTTATGGTTGGCAGAGGCAGGAACAGATCAAGAATTAATCAACGGAGGATAAGAATTGGGTGGCTGCAGATGTTCCTGCTTCCACGGTTTCAAAATTGGCAGAAGTGAGGAAGAGCTGCAGAACAACTTCCAAAACTGAATTATGAAAAAAACCAGGACACGGAAGCAGAATGGAAACATACTCTGGGGAACTGTCTCCAAATTTAAGAAGGAGAAGTTTGATGCTAAATATTAAGATGGGCTTCCTTTGGTTGATGTACTTTAGATGTTGGGTTTTTCTGGAGAATCCTTCTTCTTCTTCTTCTTCTTCTTCTTCTTCTTCTTCTTCTTCTTCTTCCCCTTCTCTTTCTCCTTCTCCTTCTCCTTCTCCTTCTCCTTCTCCTCCTCTTTCCCTCCTCTTCCTCCTCTTTCCTTCTCTTTCCCTCTCCTTCTCCTCTTTCCTTCTCCTCTTTCCTTCCTTCTTCTTCTCTTTGAATTCTCAGCCAAGATGGCTGAACCCAGGCCCCTCACCCCACCTTATTCCCCTCCTAATAGTTATAGTTGGAAGAATGTGTCACCTGGTTTTGTTGCTGAATTCGCTGTTGTGGAATTCACGAAGTGCAACTTTGGTCTTCTCACCAAGGTTATCAACAAAAGTCTGGACCTCCTTTTGAAACTTCTCAAACTTCTGGGCCAAGGTGGGCTCTTTCCCACTGTCTTCATTGGAGTCTTGGGATAAATAAATTGAAACAGCAACTTTGTTACTTGCTGATACACAACGCTAAACCCACACTTCATGTTGAGTTCATATAACAAGCATTATTTATATCCAAACAAATAAGCCGTGCTTAATGTAATAATCTGGTTCACAAAACATATCGGGACCATACTTGATCTCTCACAAAATACTGAACTGCAAACGACCCAATTCTGTTTAGCTTAGTCCGGCATGTTGTGTGAATCCAGCTATGTGTGGAGAAATTGACACAAGGTTCAATAAACTCAGAACTCAGAATGAACAATGGATATTTTTGGGTTGGAGTGCACACATTTTTGCATCATGTATGCTATTTATTTGTGCAACATTTGCCTATCTCTCTCTCTCTCTCTCTCTCTCTCTCTCTCTCTCTCTCTCTCTCTCT